GACACTCGTTTATGTAGTTTATCAGCGAAAAAAAAGTTGATTTGGGGGTGACTTGCTCTTTAAAGTCCCACCTCTGTTTGATTGACAGCAACAGGCAAATTTCTCCACAGTTTCTTTTATAAGATTGAAACTCGAAACAGGAAACTGTCAATAATGCGGGACATGAATCTCAATTTGCGGGACGCGTGAAAAGTAAAGAAAATGTGAGACTGTCCGACGGAACAAAGCGGGAGATCTTGTCACCCTACTTAGCGAGGATAGCCGGTTTGTTGCTAAATAAATTAGCCAATCGTAGTAGAACCTTTTTAGCCAATCAAATGAGAGAAAGGCGGGATCTTTCTTGGACATTCTAGAATTCCAGATGATGCGACCGGCGCCGAATGGGTTGCGCATGCACAGGGGTTTTTGTTGTCGCTTAATGGCAATTAGCAAACAACTTTAGATGCATTACCGCCACCTACCGATCTGAAGATTGTGGTAAAGCCAGCCTCCACTCGCCGATTCACGGTAAAGTGAGCCCTCAGCGTTACGTTAAAGGGTCGAGCCACTGTTTTTCAAAATAAAAGCCCATCTCAGAAACGTATTTTCTGACTGATTATTTAAAAAAAACTTAACAAATGGAACTCAAAAGTTACCAGATGACAGTTGTTTTGCTGTTTTAACAGCTATTTAAAAATAAATCGCAAATAGTGGAAGTGCCTAAAAAACAAGTTTTGACAATCCTTTCTAAATGTTTCTCTATGGCTGTGTCCGAATCCAGGGGTAGGATGCTTGTGAGAGCGCATTTTGAGGTCGATGACGTCAAAGCGCAGCGACGAGTACTGTCCGAATTCCAAGAATCCTCATTCTCGCGTCCTCAAACGCGTCCTCGCTCCACCCACATTTCGAGGATGGGTCTGATGGATCCTCACAGGAGCAAGGGTATCCCAGCATGCTTTGCGCGCCGGCCGCTGGACTCGACACTCGCAACAACGGCGGACGGAGCGGGACAGCAGTACAGCTTAAAATGTAAGTTAGTTAAAAAATTAGCGGTCAAAAAAATAAAATACGTGTTTGGGCACTTTTGGTTTGTGTTTTATATACGATCTAATACAGCAAATTGTTTTTTTTTCATGTAATTTAAGGCTAAAACATGCCCCACCGAAAACCAGCTTGAATGTTTAATAGGAAAAAACCCACCGTAAACTAGCTTGATCCCAGCAGGCTTTTTAAAAGAAAATAGCGGTAGAAAACTAAGCTGAAAGCGGTTCTGTTTATAGACATTTTTCGTTTGTATAAGTACATTTTAAGCAGAAATCAGCGAGAACGAGCTTGTATGGTGGTCCCGTCAAAATTCCCGTGTGTGTGTGTGTGTGTGTGTGTGTGTGTCTATTTAGCGAATAACGCTTCTCATCATTTGTTTTAAGGTTAACACCCCACCGTAAACTTGCTTGAAAGTCTAATAGGAACAAACTAACCGTAAAAGAGCTTGCATCTTATGTAATCATGTAACGAACGCCAAAAATAACGAAAACTAAGTTTAATGTTTATTTAAGTTAATTTTTAAGAAACCACATTACTGATTTAATGTTTTTAATTTCATTTTAGGCGGAAAAAACAGAACACAATTTTCATCTCCCATGTTGATAAATTAAAATATTGTTTATTGCATGTTTTATCAACTATGATTTATAATCTGACTTTGTTCTTCTATTCCTCTCTATTCTCATCCAGAACCAGTACCTTTAAGGAGCATCTGTAATTTCATTATGCCCACAGTGTTCTCTGTTGTTAAATGACAATAAAGCCTTGTAATTCTAATTCCCTTTGTCTGTAGGACTGCAAGTATCCAGGGTCAGGAGAGGGAGTCAGCGGAAAGCCCACTGCTGAAACCTGGCCCTGGTTTGTCCCTATGGACGAGGTGTTGGGACAGAGGCCTTCCACCATGCCTCCTGTCCTTATTGCTTCCATTCCCGAGGACACTCCAGGGCCAAGTGCAGCAGTGGGTGAGACCATAGGAGAAAACACACACACACACACACACACACACACACACACACACACACACACACACACACACACACACACACACACACCCACACACCAACACATTTAAAGCTCAGTTTGCTCCACTGGTTTACTGTGATGCTCACCTGTTCCAGCCAGATACCTGCATCATGGGGTTGATCTGAGCTGAGGAGGAGACTCCTGTTGTTTTGTTCATCTTCATCATAATAATGACAACATTAGATGACAACAGGTGCTCACATAGGTTTGTGCTGATGAACATGTCTGAGCAGCTGGACCACGTTGTTGTGTGTCGGGGAGGAAACACAACCACAGAGTCATGCTGGTTTGAGCGTGTCGCTGCTCGCTGGAGTTATATCTGCTCTGTCTGGAAGTTAGTTTGAACACTTTCTCTTTAAGTCGTGAACACATTACTGAGCGGCTAGAATCTCCGTTTCTGGGCTTCAACGTCAGAAAACAGCTGCAGTCATCATGATGGCTGCAGACCACGGGGTATTCACATTGTTAGTATTGTTAAATCTTTCTGCAGCTTTTGACACCGTTGATCACAGCACCTCAATTAACAGACTTAGTGACTTGGTGGGGATCTCTGAAACTTTTCTAGACTGATTTAGATTGTACCTTTCTAACAGAAGTTACAGTGTCTGTGTAAACCAAATCATGTCATATTCTACTGATCTGTTTTGTGGGGTACCCCAAGGCTGTGTTTTGGGTCCACTGTTGTTTCTACTGTACATACACCCTCTTGGACAGACAACTGATTATTTTCATTATGTCTCTTACCACCTATATGCAGATGATATTCAGCTGTACTGCTCCTTTAAGGATTCTGAGTTCTATAAACTGAATTACTAGAGTGTATCAGCTATCACCAGCTGGCTAGAAGATAACTTCCTTCAGTTAAACTCTGAAAAGACTGAATGTCTGATCATTGCCCCTGAGAGCACGGTTCCCCTGATTAGTCAAAAATTTAGTCATTTATTTTCTGCCATCAAGTCAAACTCGAGGAATTTGGGTGTTGTTTTTGACCAATCAATGTCTCTTGAAGGTCACTCAGAAACATTGGTCCGAAACTGTTTTTTATCATTTAAGAACTATCTCCAAACTGAGAAGGTTGGTGACAAAACATGACCTTGAAATGGTCATCCATGCCTTTATCTTCTCCTGTCTAGATTACTGTAACACACTTTTCACATGTTTTAACAAAAAAGCCCTTGACCACCTTCAGTTGGTCAGAATCAGAACGGTTTTATTGCCAAATGTGCGAAAATCACAACTTTAGGAAATTGCTGTGGTACTTGGTGCAAGAAAAAATAAATAAGCAAAATTAGAATTAAGAAATAAACACAATGAACTTATAACAACATAGAGAATCAATAATTAGAAGTCAATAACTCTACAGCGAGGCTTCTCACTGGAGCAAAGATTCTATGTGAAGCACTTTGTGATTTTTTGTCTGTGATGAGTGCTATTTAAATAAAATATACTTACTTTACTAAGTGAACTTAGGTCTAAATTTTCTCTTCACTCCAAGGTTTCCATAGATGACCACTCTAGAAAAAATTTCACTCTATCTATAGTTTCGTGCACAATTGAGGAGTTACCCCAAATTTTCTTCATATTATTAAAACATCATTCAACTTATGCATAAAAATAAAAAAATTACCATAAATATTCATTTTTTTTGTTAAAGAACTGGGTTACTGAGTAAAGTTTAGTCAGGCAGGACTTCACACACAGAAAGAAATACCAAGTGCTTCACTAAGATGAACAAAACAAAAAGATAAATGGCTTTGGTTATTATGGAAAAAAATGTATGGAAGATTTTCAAAATAAAATGTAACTCTGCCAATGCCTTTTGCACAGTTGACGTCACAGTACAAGTGCTGCTGGGTGCTTTAGACAAACAAACCACATTTGCCAGTTGAAGAAACACAAACATCGATCAAAACAAGTCAACAGAAACTAAATTCAAACTTTTATTTTCAAACATTTACTTGTTAATCACTGTGCTGTGGCATTTTGTTCAAGTTCTTTTTGTTACTTTGAAGTTATTATTTGTCACTACTTTTTACATCTCACTGCTGGTCAAAAGCCTATTTCTTCTATAACTAGATGCTGTTTGGTCGAGAAGTTCAACTGGACTCCATCATTTACACCACTGCCTCCTGGATAACTCCACATCTGAGCGTTGCTAGTACCAGCTTTTCATTCTCAGACGTAGAGCTTTTCCCACTGGCAAAAGTGTAAGAAACAAATGTACGCCTATCCCATCGTTGTTTCTGCTCCCCACTGTGATAATCTTTCCTTTGTCTGTCATAGCTTGACCTGTTTCCCTTCCCAGCTGTTTCATGTGGTCGCAGACCTTACCCGACTTTGAAGAATGACTAAAAAACTCTCCTCTGACATCCGATCTTATTAGGAGATGAAAATACAACTTTAGGATGAGCGGAGCGACTCAGACCCATAAGCACTCATGCAAAACACATGCATACATGTCTATGGCTACACCCCGCAATGCACGTGATCTATTTTTAGCTACTGTAGCATACACTTTTAGTTCTCAATATTTCAGTGAAAGAAAAGAAAAACTAAAACAACTGATTTCAGACTCGACTGTCCTTCTGGGTTCCTGGTTTAACAGAACGAACTTTCAGAGAAATCTGTGGTGGAAGCCCTCGTTGTCTGAAGACCTGGAATTAAGAATAATGTTATTATTAATAATAATAATAAACATCATTAAATACTCAGTAAAACAATCCTAATTCAGCCTCACCTTTGATAAAACATCTTCCATCTGTGATCCTGACAGGTGGTCACCAAGCTTGAGTTTGACCTTCAGCATCACAATGTAGCCTAAAGACGTCAACATGGATCAGATTCAACAAAATTTGGTTTCATTCTCTCAGAAAATATTAAGAATCTCAACAATGGCTGAAACAAATTCCTTACTTACTTTTGTCTGTAGGTCAAAGGTCAAAGAAAATCTCATCAAGAAGATTTTTGTCGACATGAAAACAGAAAATAAATCAGGATGAATTCATATTTGTGCTTGAGTTTTAAATATAATCATTTAAATACATTTTCTCTTCTGTTTCTACAGTAAATTAGCTGAGGACCAACACACAGAAGGTCAAAGGTCACAGAGGATCTCACCAGTAGCTGCAGTGATGCTAACTCCAGAGCTTCTGATGCTGCCAGACACAGAATAGAGAGTGAACGTGTACGTGGTTCCAGCAGCGAGAGATGAGACTGTGTAGGTTACTGGTCCGTCTCCGCTTGGTGCACTGATGTTTGTCTCTGCACCATTAAACTGGAGCACAAAGCTGATGTTGTCCATTTTATTCCACTGCAGAGTGATGCTGTTCTGGGTTTGTCCTGATGCCCTGAAGCCTTCGGGGATTGGGAAATATAGTTCTGGGGAGAAAAAAAATCTGTGTCTCTAAATCGGACAACCTCCAAAGCCTGCATCACATTTCTACTGATGCCTTCTAGTATTTTTGTTAACTGTTCTAAAATTGTTGAATTAGAATTAATAAAATCAAAAGTAAGAACACTGAAAATGTTGCGTGGTGAGACGTGTTCCACCCATCCCACTCTGTGTGCCAGCTGCTGCACGTTAGGCACTTGATTGAGGGGCGGAGCAGTTGGGATGAATGGAGTGTGATTGCTGACTCTGCGTCTTTGGCCCAATCCCAATACTCGCCCTGCAGTCTTAAGCAAAGTGCACTTGGAGAAAGTGTGCAGTAAGGCTTTAAGTGAGCAAATAATTGTAGAATTTAGACATGGAGTGTTGGGTAATCAATCGGGATGCTGGTCGTTCTGATACTTTTTTCAAAAACCTTTATTAACAACTTTCAAAAAACAACCAAACAGGTATTTGAAATAAATTTAAAGTCATTGCTGCTTGGTCTAAACATTCAGACTATCATTAGAAAATACATATGTTCAGAAAAGGAACTTGAGCCTGTTCTCCTGCAGCAGTGGATTGTGGGTAATACCCTTCACCCAAGTCCACATCGATGCAGACTTGGGTGAAGTCCGAATCAAGGGTGCAAAAGGGCCGTGATCCATACGTGGGAATCCAGACACTACACACTCACACCCCTGGTTGGATCGCGCAAATGAAGGGCGCAAGTGTAGAAGTATTGCGATTGGGCCTAAATGCATTGAGTTGCCACCATGGGATTGGCTGAATAGTGATTAGCGTTAACGAGCAGTAAGACTGGACAATAAATTGGCCAGTGAGTGTAGAGCAATTAGTGATTTTTCACTAAAATGTTGACTATTTTTATTCTGTTTTAGTTATCAACTTCCTGTATACCACTAAAGCATCTGTCTGTTATTATTTAGGGCCAGCTAGGTATATTATGTTAATGGTAAAGAAGTGTTTTTGTAAACAATTTTGAATGCTGAGAAAAACAATTGTTCCTCTGCTCTGTCAGCTGTTTGTGTGGCGGTGCTGCCTGAGGAATGAACCTCTGGGGTGGCAGGAACCGTGTTTTACTTGTGGGCAGGTGGGTGTGGTTGGTCACTGGGTGTTACACCCTTTTCTGTTTCAGCACTGTGTGGCTTCCGCCTGTTTACCTGCTGGTCCATTCCCCTTGGTAGGCTGTACAGAAAACCTCCTATGTGTGTGTGTGTGTGTGTGTGTGTGTGTGTGTGTGTGTGTCATCGAGTCACGGTGCACTGGAAACAGCTATTTTGTCCTGCCTTGTTTCTCAACCACCTGGGTTGATCTGGGGTCCTGCACCATGGACGAGTGTGAAGTGAAACGTTCTGCTCCAGGGATCAGCACAGGGCTGTCCTCTGATCTGGTTGAAGCAGTGGTTCCCAACCTTTTTGACTCGTGGACCCCCTGAGCCGTTTTTTCATATCACAAGCACCCGCTATGCCAAACGTGTTGACGACTCCCCAACAGTAGAACGTACAACTGAATATTGAAATAAAATAATGCCATTCAATATCTTTAACACTGAACCACGTCTAACTTCTCATGTGAATTCTTTAATTCTTTAAGGCCAATAAGCCCTGGGAAGTGCCATCTCCAGCACAATGAAAAGCACATCAGACACCCTTTCATCACTGGCAGCAAGTGAAGAGTTCAATGTGTAAAACAACGTTTATGAGTGGTAAAAGTTTTGCAACCGTTTCTTACAATCAGTAAATGAATTTTGTCCTCACAGGCTCCCGTAGAAGTAATCGTGACATCTAATATGGCATCGCCCAGAGACATAGGGTGTTTCTCAATGCCAAGGAACCTTGTCTTGATGTCTTGGCCCCGCCCCGGTTGCCTAGGAGATACGTCATCGGGAGCCGCCAAGACGCGTTCCAATGTTCATGTTCTACCGAGGCATGTGTTCTCCGTTTGTAGCCGTTTAGCTAGCTGAGCGAGGACACACGGGAGGTGTCTTGTAGCCTAGCCTTGGTCAAAAATTACCCAGAAAACAACGCGGTATTTTCAAAAGGACGGCGGATCAGAAGCCGGCAGCTACTTCGGGGCAAATTTCAAGTTTAAAAGTAACTAATTAAAAGTGGGTTTTTTTTAGATCCAAATAAGTTATCTGTGGTTGGTTAGTTGCTTAGTAGTTGCAGCTTTGCTGGCTAGCGGGTAGTGACTCTTATTTTTAATTTAATAAACATATACACAATCTAGAAAGTAAAAGTCTTGTTAAATATTTATGTTGAAACTAATACGTATAAAATATAACGTTATCTCCCGTGTCACTTGACGTTACGTGACCACCGTGGAAGCTGCGGTCATGTGATGCAAGTCTGTTCCAGTTAACCGTTTTCTTTGACCAAGGAAGGCCAGGAACCTTGACCTTGAGAAACACTCTTAGACCCACTCCCAGTGATTTTAGACCTGATTTTTTTAGGTTATATGTTACAAAGTCACCCATATTTCTCAACAACTGGACGCCCTTTAATTCATTTTTAACAACAATTCGATGGATATTTCCAGAGATTAACGGTAAAAACTACATATTGTCAACGGCTTTAAGTCAACGACTTAATACACATATCTTGAGTCCTGCTGTTTTAAAACAAGCATTTATTGATGACCAAGCTGTTAAATAAAATTGTATATTATTTAAAATCCATCCTTCACCCAGTGCATCCTTTAACCTTTGCTGCAGTTGCATTTAACTGAAGGAATAGACAACAAACCTGCACAATATGCATAGTCGCACCATGTAGGATATACAGGTTTGTAGACATAGAATCCATTGCAGAGTTTGATCTGGATGGGGTTTGAAGACAAATAGCAGCAGGAACCACTCCAGGCACCACAAACAGAGCGAGTTACAGTTTGATTCATCTGTGTGGGGTGAGGCGCTGTGATCCACAATGGAGCGTAGGTTCCACATCTGAGTTCTGCTATACACTTCTCTGGAATACGAGCATCAGCTTGGCCCAGAAAGAAACGATACCAGCCGGCCCAGTTGATATTCCGATCACAGTGTAATGGGTTGTTTGCGTTATCCACTGAGCGCCAGCTATCGTTCAGCACAGAGTAGTGGTCACAGGGGTCGGCACACTGAAGAACCCCGTTTATACTGATGCAGTCCATCCCTGAGGCGCAGTTTACACCTGAACAGAGAACCTGTCCCTCTTCATGTCAGACATGGAAGAAAAACAGACACTGTTAAAAAGCCTGACCTTGTTAAAAATAAAATAAGATGTGATTCAAACTTCTTCTCTTTAATATTATTTAAAACAATTCACAGTTTTATAATTTAATCTCTCAACAGACAGCACAAGTTTCATTTTTACACACAACTGGTCAGATATCACTAAACCTTTACTGATTAAAGAGTCCGGGTTACCTGTCAGAGAGGTGAGAGTAAACAGGTGGAACAGGGGGAGGAGCATGTTGGAGCTTTTCTTCAGCTGATCAGAGACAAAAGTTCAGGTTCATTCAACAGATTTCTCTTTAGAACAGCAGCAGGTCAGTGTTCATACGAGCTTTTACTCTAGTTCAAATCAAATGAAAGACTCATTTTGTAAAACTGAGCCTAAACCTTGAAACCTGCTATCAGTGCGACCATTAACCTTTGACCTCACACAAGTCATCACATCACACAACTGAGAGAAAGATAGCAGTGTGTGCGAAAACACGTCGGACTGTAGAGGTTACTCTTCGTTTATGTTGGTTCCTGTAGTTCTCAAGCTTTAACCTCTTCTATAAAGAATGAACGACACAACCGTTTTACGCGTCGGACAACATCAGACGTCGTCACACACGGTAAAATGACTGTGTGGTCCACCGTCCATCTTTATTTTAAAACAACACAAGAAGAGACCGACTTCTTCTGGTAAAAACACAAACTGCGCCCTCTACTGCTGACACATTGTAAATGTATACGTTTCTCATTGAGATAACCAAGAATATTTATGAATACAAAATAGTCAATTCGTAGACACATAAACAAATGTGACAAGATAAACAGTTAAATATATTTAAACCTTAAATGGCGCTTACACAGACGTTACCGTAGTATTTAATATTGTCAGATGAAAAACTTTAAATCGTTGGACAATATGACCGACGTTAGGGTGACCATATGTCCTCTTTTCCCCGGACATGTCCACTTTTCACTCACTGACCCGGGCGCCTGCGGAGGGGGTTTCCTGATGTAGATGTCCGGTTTTTCATCCCGGAGAAGGGATCAAAATATGGGGGAGCTGGACATCTTACACATCCAAGGAGATGCGGTGTTACGTCGACATGTGTGCCCCCTCAAGATCTGTTTCTTTTGCACCAAGCTGTGAGTTGCAACCATCTACTCACAAAAATAGCCTGTCCTAATCGTTACCTCAACCCTTATCCCAACCATTATGCTAAATATTAATTTTTGGTGACAGGGTGGTTGTGGTTAGGGTCAGGGTTGCCATGCCATGTGGATTTATATATGAACACTACACTGGGACTGAACTCACACCATCCAGCCCGACCAAACCCCGACCATGCAGGCGCTAATAGCGCCATACGTTCAAATGTAACTCATGAGATGAAAAAGTAAGAAGCCAGTAAACTGTTTTTTTAGAGAATCAGAGAATCAGAGAGAATTTCATTGCCAGCGCTCCAGTGAACCAGAGCATAGGAACTTGACTCCACAGAACAGCCTGACCAAGATTACACACACACATATAGACAGGACAGATACAGGCAGACCACGAGAGCAGCCATAACAGCGCTCGTTTCAATAGATGAAGAGGGGATTACATGAGGAGAGTTCGGGGAGGGAGAAAAAGGCATTAACAGGGTTACACCGGCAGGGTGTAGCTCTGCTATGCAAAAAAACACCTCAACATATTAGCACGAACGTCACAGTTCACAACATGAGACCCGGTAGGTAGGGGGGAGGGGCTGGGACCCTGGTTTCCTCAGTGGGAGCTGCCTGTGTGGCGCTCGGCCAACTGAATCCACAGGTGGGTGGGAGGTCATGGGAAAGCACAGAGCACAGTGAGTGCCTTCAACTTGATGACCTCGATGCAGAGACCACAAACTTAAGGCGGGGGGGGGTTTCACAGCATTTGTCTGCATTCCTTCCATTGTGGGGGTTTTTGCACGCAACTCCAAGGCTGCTTATGGCGTCAGACTGGATAACAGGACTTTGTTTGGGTCAGGCAGAGATAATTTTCCTCTCTGCCTTAAAGTCTGTATTGATCATTCAAGTCCTCCAGTGAAGCCAATTCGGTGATTAAACATCTCCACACCGTCTGGTGACCCTCTCCGAGATGACATCCATTTTGCGCACTAACACCGGTAATGCAGCTAAGGCACTGTCCAGCTTGCGATTCACCTCGAGTAACGTCCCAGTCTGTGAGGTCTCCGCCCGGACGGTGCCGTCCATGGGTGCGGGTCGCCCTCCAATCGCTCCCGTCATCCCAATTTTTCGGAAAACCAGATATCCTCCCACTCCAATCAGAAGAAATCCAGTGATCATCAGGCCAAATATCCACACATCTTCGACGTCCTCAATGGACAGCTGAGAGAGACAGATGACATTCCACTTCTTCCAGGAATCGAACATATATCCCGCTGCATGTGTCCCGTGAGGGCAAGCGCGAGCCCCCTCCTCCGTTCTCATCGTAGAAAAAATGGTATCAATCGCGTTGAATGACCAATTAATTAAATCCATTTCTGAAAAATAGTGATTTCCAGAGGAAATGCAGAGAAGCGCTCTGTAGGCAGATGGGACAAAAAGAGCCTTGGGGAAAAGATAAGGGAGCAAAGCAGAAGCGACTGTGCTCTGTGAGTGCCAGAAGAGAAGGATTAAGATTTAGAGGAGATACAGGAAGATCAGAGACAGACAGAATTGGAAAATATCCAAATAAAAAACAAGAAAAAAATCCCAAAGTGCTTGAAAAGTAAAAGGCAGGCAGATTTATCCCACTACACCTTTTTATTTTACAAAGCAATAATTTATAAGTATGCAATATTTCCAATATTTGATACTTTTCAGACCACCTTCAAAACTCAGTGTAACACCCAGGGCCGTTTCAAAGCATTTTGGGGGCCAAGGCTAAATAAAATAAATCCGATTAAGAATCCCTCTTGTATTCAAAAGAAAGTTAAAATGAATAAATAAATAACCTGAACAGAGTTTATGAATGTGGGGATTTTTTTTAAAACTTCACCAATATTTACATGCATGTTCAAAATCTGTCTAATCAGTCATGATCATTTAAAAATGTTTAGTTAATCATTTATAAATGACTGGTGCATCAAAATCTTATATATAACCGATGACGACTGTGACTTTAGAAAATTAAGCATGTTCTATAAACATTACCAACTGTGTTATTGAGCATTTGTAAATGTTTGCCTAATCATTATTTAATGTTTGTAAAGGTCAAGTTACTCATTATTTAAACATTTGTAAATGTCAACTCAAGCCTTTATAAATAAATGATATATGATACCTAACACCTTGTTGGTGATCTGTTAATAACTTACTAAACACTTAGAAATGTATTTATGTCATCACAATCCTTTAAGAATAATTTGTTCATTATTATCTAAGACGTTGCTAATTATATGTTAATGACTTACTAAACACTTATAAATGTTTATTAACAAAACATTATTACAAAGTGTTACCAAGAGGGGAAATCTCAGAAACACTGGATTTAATGTTTAATGTTTGCCATGTTCAGCACCTTGGGTTTCCATAAAGGCAGTGGAAGGCGCTGTACAAAAAATGTATTGATTGCCAGAATCAAAATTAAAAAATGGAAAAAATGGGAAAATGGAAAAAAGAACCAATCAGCAAATGCACCAGGTGGGACTGGATGAGAAATAAATCAGAGTCCGGAGCTGGCCGCTGGTTGAACAAGCTTCCGATAATAAATAAATGAAATTAAAATAAAGATTTATGTCTAATTAATTTATTTAAATAGAATTTCACCTCAACAAGAAATCGAATGGGTCGCACAATAAAGATGTTCTGTCTAAGGGCCAAAGCCATTTCCACCTTCTGAGGCTGAGGTCCTTTTGTCACACTCTGTCCTGTCTCCCTGTCTATTTCAGCTCTGTGTCTCGTTCATTACTCCCACCTGCCTCTTGTTTCCCAATCACCTTAGCTCTCCCAGCAGCGGCTCTGCCACCGGCCCAGAAGCTGACAGATCGGGCCCAGAGGCCGACGGAGCGGGCCCAGAGGCAGAGGGTACCGGCCCGGAAGCAGACGGTACCGGATCCGGTCCGAAAGTCGGTGGTCCAGAAGATGAGGGACCAGAAGCCGACTCGCCCGGGCCAGAAGCAGACGCCCCCGGACCAGAAGCAGACGGTTCCGGTCCAGAGACCAGCGGTCCAGAGGTCGACGGTCCGAAAATCGAAGGACCAGAAGTCGACGCCCTCGGACCCGAGGCCGACGCCCCGGACCAGAAGTCGATGGTGGTCGACGCCCGGTCCGGTCCTGTGGTCGACGCCCCTTCCTGTCCTGTGGTCGACGCCCCTTCCTGTTCTGAAGTCGATGCCCCTTCCTGTTCTGAAGTCGACGCCTCTTCCTGTTCTGAAGTCGATGCTCCTTCCTGTTCTGAAGTCGACACCCCTTCCTGTTCTGAAGTCGACGCCCCCGGGCCTGAAGGCGACGTATCTGAAGTCGTCTCCCAAGTCGGCTCGGCTGAAGTCGCCTCCCAAGTCGGCTCGGCTGAAGTTGCCCCCCGAGTCGGCTCGTCTGACGTCGCCCCCCGAGTCGGCTCGTCTGACGTCGCCCCCCGATTCGGCTCGTCTGACGTCGCCCCCCAAGTCGGCTTGTCTGACGTCGCACCCCAAGGGCCCATCGCCTCCTCTTCTGCCGCAGGCGCCGGCCTCCAAGGGCCCGTCGCCTCCTCGTCTGCCGCAGGGGCCGGCCTCCAAGGGCCCGTCGCCTCCTCTTCTGCCGCAGGCGCTGGCCTCCAAGGGTCCGTCGCCTCCTCATCTGCTGCAGGCGCAGGCCCCCGGACTCTGCTGATCCCTGCAGCCTCTCCGGCGGTCCCTCGGTTCTTCTGGGCCCTCCCTCCTGGTCCCCCTCCTCCCGCCCTGCTCCTTGGTCCTGCGGACATCTGGGATCCAACCTTTTTTTGGGGGGGGGGGGGGGGGGGGTACTGTCACACCCTGTCCTGTCTCCCTGTCTAGTTCAGCTCTGTGTCTCGTTAATTACTCCCACCTGCCTCTTGTTTCCCAATCACCTTAGCTCCCGGTCCTCCTGTATTTAAACCCCGTCTGTTTGGTGTCCTGTGTCGAGTCATTGTTTCAGTGTCCCTCGTGTCTCGAAATAAATCATTGTCAGAAGTCCTACCTGTCTGCCTGTTTCCTCCCCGGTCTGGATCCTCGCCTTTCCTCGGCTTACTTCACCGGCATGCGTGACACCTTTGCAGTTAACACCAACTACTTTCTCCCCCTGAGCCTGAGATCAGTGGACTCAGTGGTCTCCTTTAAAAAGCAGCTGAAACTCACCTGTTCAAGCTGGTTTTGACGTGACCCTCATCACCCTCTCCTTATTCTGCTCTTTCCCGCAATCATTTTCTCTCTTTCTTCCCTCACATAAATTTTTTATCACAATTTTTATTGATTGTTTTCCTCTCATTTGAAGCATATTTAAAATTTTTTTTGAAATCTTTCTCATACTTTTTGTGTGAAACGCCTCATGATCTTTATCTTGAGAGGCGATACATAAAAGATCCTTTTCTTTCTAGCTTTACTAAAGAAATGTAATTCTGGTTACTCATTAGCGTCCTGGGCCCGTCCATTGTCCTTCAGTCATAGTTGTGTAAACACACCAATCAGCTGGCACTCACATTTGCAGTTATTTGCATTTGTTTGCTCAAAACATCTCCAACAGCCAAAATCTGTGTGTGACATGGAAAATTTTACAGCAGGAACAAAAACAAGAGTGTACCTTATTTACAAAAACATCCCACATCTTGAATAATTTGCAAATATGCGAGATGAACTCTCACAAAATGTTCAGGCACACAAGTGTGTTTTCAAAGATTTAAGGAAAAAGCATCCAAAAGGACTCACAATAAGTCTGTATTGTGTATATTTTTCCTATGAAAGGTGACTAAAGACTAGGTCCATGGTCCCCTACATGGAGTTGGCACATGCTTGTACACATGATGAAATCATGCTATTTGGTTTTGATCATCACTGATTTCCAAAACAATACTTTGGCTGATAATGTTTTTGTCAGACTCG